GCCATGAAATGGCAGACTATGTAATACACTTATTACGATTCTCGAACGTAATCGATATTTCTCGTAATCAGTCTATAATTTCAGGTGTAACGTGGGAGCGTTAGTTTTACGCGGGAAGTGCAGCAAAAAGAAATATTATCGAAAAAATTCTCAGGTAAAGATTACAATCAATAGTTTTTAGATTGTGTTTGCATTATTCAGTACGTTTAAGATTTGCAGTGAACATTATTTAAAAGAATAATGTATTTAATCAAATCATATATGTATTTAATAAAATCATGTACTTAACTAAAGTTCTTATTGGTTAGAAGCGAATACATACATATATATATATATTTTTTTTTTTCACTATTGTACATATATACAGTATTTCAGTATTCGAAAGTGTTATTGAAATTTCAAATTAAATTAGTACATAAATGGATATTTATGTATGTATAAATTTATATAGTTGAAATATTCTTATTGGACGTTTTCATTTTCCATAAATCAGTCGAATTTTATTACGGTATCGTTTTTGATCTGCCTTAAGATATAATAGCAAGAATGTTTGTACATTTAAATGAAGATATCTTCGTCGAAAACAAGTAGAAAATTAACACATCGTTTCCCACTCTCTATTGGTTGTTGGTAGAGCAGACATACACTCAGTTATACCCGAAACAGGTTTTTTTCGAAGCCTGCCTAGGAACAGAATGGACTGGTCGACAAGTAAAAATGCAGGATCCTGCCTTGCGCGCCATCATGCATTCACGAGAACCGTGTACGGCATAATAATGCAACGTAATTCCAATACATTGTGTGTGGTTTCTATCTACCCCGATCGACACGAAGAAATTATCTGTCAGGAATATTTCTTGCAAAGAGTACATATAACAGTTCGCAATGCAATTTATCCCCTCAGTTGTGCATATAATTTTTTATTATTTATCCACGTGAGGAATGCGATGTTACGATTGCTTGAAAAGGCTTCTTGTGTTCAACTAACATAACAAGGCGGTGGCATCGATACTTGTTAGCTTGGAAGATTTCGGATAATCGACGCCTTGTTCACGATCGCGTAACCGACATCGTGATCAATGAATTCTAAGAACGAAAGAAGCAATGAAATTTATCATCACGCGTACTCACTCTATCGTATTCCTTGTTCTCAATTAATTTGCAACAATTGGCAACACGCGCGTAACTGCGATGTATCTTCGTCAATTACAACCAAACGACGATGCGATTAAATAACGTTTCTGTTCTATCTATCCTTCAGAGACGAAATGAATCTTTATTTTATTTCGTTTACTATCTGTTTGCAGGAGTTGCACGTGTTGCCGTAACCATGCCTCGCTGTCGACCTACGCGGGAAAGGAATCGACTTTTCATTCGCTGTGTCTCGCAGCTGTTCACCGATCGCGATAACGTGGGCGACAGCAGTCTCTCACTCAACGAAAACTTTATATTTTCGAAAGGTGAGTAAAAATCACGAATTTCTAGCCTTCGTACCACCCACCAGATGGTGGCACCCACGTTTTTCCAGGCACCTGCGCGGCGATATCCTATTGGCCAATACAGGTTGATCGATCGCTTATATAACAATACGTGTGAATATTTGAATTTTCGTCTTTTCAATAACTTGTCGCACAATAGTTGATCCAGAATATATTGCTTTCATTCATTTATTTCTCCTGTGGAAAGAAGTCTTTTATACAAAGAATGAAAAATAGGAATCAAAAATCACACAGAGTCTCTTCAGTTGATTTCAATTAGTAATAATGAGTGATAAAATTGCAGGATTTTATAATTTGTTGCTTGAATATTCCAATGAAATTATAAGACGTAAATATGTTCAACAGAGCATTGACTGACTATATAATAATCATTGGTATATCAACACACGACTCAAATAGTACAAATGCAATTCAAAAGTTCATACATACGACATTCCATATCATATGATACTTTCTCAAGAGAGAAGAAGACGAGAAAGGTGATAAATTTGGTAATAACCAAATTTATCACCTTTATATATATTTCTATAACTTTATATATATTTTTATTTATATATAATTCATCGCGTGTGACGCGAGCGGAAGTATAGAAACCGACGCCAGATCGCGATCCGCTTCTGTCGAATCGCGGTACAGTATGAATTCTCATGTACTCGTCGCATCGCGTCGTGTCGGTGCGACAATAAACACGCGGTTTACGGTTGCAAGATCGCACATGTGTTCACGTCTACACGCGCTTATACGTACGGGTAAAGAGTACTGGCTGGCGCGAGTACACAGGAAAGGTGTAGCCCTATGCTGGCCGCATGGACTCGAAATGCACGAGAATAGAATCGTGTTTGACCGTACGTGTGCGTATGAGCCTTGGTGCACAATAGACAACGACACCCACCAGTGTGCTCGTGCATACGACGGAATTTATGTTTGTCAGCGTGCTGGATGGATGTAGCATTAGTGGACGCGCGTATATTATAATGCTCACTTAACTGCATCCTTTGTATGTACATACAGGATACGTATGCATTAACGTTGTGATGGTATGTGAACACCTGTATGCACGAAACGGACGCATATACGATACAGGTTGTTTCTCGACCCGAACAGTACAGTGACTAGGCGGAAAGACGATTTCTTTGCGGAAAAAGATGGGAGACTGATATATCCCCGCATTGGGATCGTTTAATTAGCTGGCCGTATAATCAGGTGCTTTCTGTTTACCGATTTATGTATATGTGCCGCTGATTCACGTGGCACAATGAGGATTTTAGCTTTCTAAAAGAAGAGTGCACGACCGTGTGATTTTCGTCGACACAATCAGGAAAGTAAAGACCAACGCGATTTCGAACGCGAAACAAAGTTAAATTTCGTCGACGTCGAAACTTTCTTCCTTTTCCACTCTTCTGTTAATATGTTTCGCTCGTTTGCGCTGATGCAAGTATACCATCGATGTTACTTTTTGTCTCACCGAATCGAATTCCTACACCTTTTAGTCCGACGCCCCAAGCAACGGAAGTCTTGCCGGTTCTCCCCGTTTAACCGTCTTGCACATGTGTGTAAGCTGCACGTGTTCCCATCGTGCGTGTCCCGTCCAACACTTGTGTGCGAGCGGATTGTGTCGCATGCGAGACTGCTCTGTGCTGTCTTATACTGCTTCTTGGTCGTTACCTTGTCAGGAATTCAGACGGAAGCCTAAGCGATGTATCTAAAGCACTTCATCGTCGAGAATTCTCTTTGATTACATTCGATCGATTTTGTAATACGCCTCTAAATAGTGTCGTAACATAGAAATTTGCCAATACAATATCGAGAACAATCATGCGTCGTGGCGAGAAAATCATAGATATAACATTAAGAGAACAAAATTATGCCTCATCATTGGATTCTTCTTCCGTGGATCTGAGGACTAAAACGTGGATCGAGTATTAATATTAATTAACCGTCTAAAATTCATATTACATGCGCTGTACGATACTTTATAACTTTATTTCCAATGCAAATGATTCTCACGGCCTCATTGATTTTTTTACCTGGAATGGTTGCAACTTGAAATCAACAAGAAAACATCTGAGACTCTTTTGAAGACACTTTTCGAGAAATCGTTTTTCTTTTTACAAAAAAAAAAAAATTCACACGAACAATTGAAATGACCTTTTGTCGAGACGATGAGCAAATTAACAATCAATGATTTCATCACGTTTCGTACAAGCTCCCACACGAAGATCAGTGAGTCATCAAACAAGCTACTCAGCTCCGTGTCAGGTGGTTTCTCTCTATCATACAAACGCATCTTCGAATAGCAAGAATAGCGAGAAAATAATCGCGAGGCAACTACCATCATCCGCGGTACATTCGCGGTTCCCATCTATCCCGCAGAAACAATAGGTCATGCAACACAGAGCGAGAAAGGGAGGCAAACGAGGGAGAGAAAGAGAGAAAGAGAGAAGGTTGCCGCTTTCCTTTCTCAGCGGCTCGACTCAAAGAACGACGACCATCGAACACAGGCACGCTTTCGAGAGGCGCGATCCTGAAAGCAAGAGGAAAACGATGCTTTAGAACGCTATTGGAGGCTCCAATTGATAATTGATGTAATTACTTTGTAAATAATAACGGATCGAGTTTATAGGAAATGAATATACTTCCGGCCAGGTAGGAAGATTCCTCGATGGACAAAGAAATGTCCATGGTGAAAGTGAATTCTAACGAAGGCAATCGAGGAAACAACAGAGGATGAAAATGGTGGAATGCGAAGCTTTCAAGTTGCGTGATCTCGAAAGCAACAAGAGATGGGAGCGTAATTGAAGATAAATTAGAAAAGGTGGAAATAAAGCGAATTCACGCGGTCAGGATCATAGAAGCGGCAAATATATGTAACGAAGAGTTAATTTGCTTCTCTCACGCGACTCAGGAAGGCCGTTATACGCGAAGGACTCTTCCCACGTTACTCCGCGTCAGATGGACGCTCGTTTCGTCCACTCGAAATACAGTTTTTCATGTTCAAACCAATTTAACCTCTTAATTCTCCCAAAGGAAGTCCCATTTAACGTCTGATTGCTGACGATGAATCTATAATTGGCGGTTGGTATGTACGAATTTCTTGCACAAAAATGCCGAGGACTGCCTTCATTTGCTTCGTGTTATCTTGTGAAGAGAATGTGACTACGCTTTCTGCCTTTAGAAGTGAATGATCGAGCTATGCTTATACGAAACGAAAGTACAAGTCTCATTTGAATGGGCTTGCTTGCTCGTTTCAATAGATGAAATTCCGTATTACCGATTAGACAGAATTATTTCGACTAAGATGTGTTTGTTAAAGGAATACTCGAGATCAAAATTCGATGAGCCCCTCCGTCTCGGTTCACCGAGGTCACACTAGACGGTCACGCGCTACTAGTTCGAAGGTATGGATGTCGAAACACCCAATGGTGTGCTCCAGAAGTTCGAGTTTCCAGATTCTCCCGGTTGCACCCTGTATTTTATTAATGTTCTCCAAGATTTTCTACGCCGCGCGAGAGAAAATGAATATTTCTCTTTCAGCTATTTGGCTGCAGTAAGATCTATAGATTGTTTCATCATACTGAGGCAGAACATGGGGAATTCGTGCCGGAAATCTGAAATTCTTGAGCAACGAAAGTACCAAGCTCTTACCGCCGTCGCATACCTACTACGTGCGCCGGAAATGCGTAACACGGCGTGGTGAAAACTCGATCGCACCTTCGTCATATCCTGAAATTAGTAAACAAGCCGCCAAGTTCCCAGAGTTGAAAGGAACAGGTTTCACCGTGATTTGAATTCTGACGCTTGGCCAACACTTTATGTCACCTGCTTCTTAATTACTACAGGCAACTATTTTCCCATGCGAGATATTTAACAAATTCATATCGCGAGTTATTCTTTTGAGTACTGTTTTTTTTTTTTTTTTTTTTTTTTTTTTTTTTTTTTTTTTTTTTTTT